TTATTATTTTTTTTTTTTTGTCGGTCGTGGGGCCTGAATTCTGGGCCTGGGTGCTGTCCCTCAGCTCTTCACCGCAAGGCTAATGCTCTACCACTTGAGCCATAGCACCACTTCCGGCTTTTTTCTGCTTATGTGATGCTGAGGAATTGAACCCAGGGCCTCATGCATGTAAGGCAAGCATTCTACCACTGAGCCACCTTCCCAGCCCCTCAGGTTATTTTTAAACCTCTGGGTTACTTAGAAGTGTGTCACTTAATTTCTAAATATTTGTGGATTTTCCAAATAATTTCTTACTGCTCTCATTTAACAACTTTACCTGAAGAATTACAATAATTACTATCAAGTTATATGGCTCTGGAAAATGTAGATGCTTGGAGTTTCCTTTGTTTCACTGGGCAATCAGCAGAACTCAGATATGCCTACCAGTTCCATCTCTCTTTCTATGGTGGCTCATGTCAAGCTTTCACCATGTTATTCCAGTCTGTCCTCACAGGAGTTACTTAGGAGGTGATCTAGGGCTAGAGTAAGTCCTTATAACACAAGTCTGTTCTCTAATACAGCCATAATTTTTGGCTTTTCTTTTCAAAACTGCATACCTTGGAACAAAGCTGTGGCTTAAAGTATTTCATACATAGAGAAAAGGCATCCTTCCACTCTTCCTCCTCCCAGATTCCCCCCACACTGACTGATTCTAAGTACTTCTTTCTCAGTCTCACTGGCAAGAATGAGGAGTTTCCTTCAGAGTTTGAGTCTCCTGTAATCTCAGGGCAAAGTGGTAAGAGAAAGACTGTGAAACTTACCAAAAAAAATACCCCCATCATTCTCTGCATAATTCAAACCACTGCAGCAGCAGCAGCAGCACAGTTTAGTTCACCACTGGGACTGGACTAGGGTCAAGTCCAGAAGAGGAAAAAAGAAAGCATTCTCCTCACACCCTTTCATGGCTCAAATGATGAGCTCATCTTAAGTTTTTTCCATCAAAGCTTACTATACAATCTGATCATCTGATTGACCTTGGAATCAAAGAAGGAAGTTAGAAAAGGAAAACAAGCCCGGCACCAGTGGCCCATGCTTATAATCCTAGCTACTCAGGAGGCTGAGATCTGGGGATCGTGATTCAAAGCCAGTGGGGGCAGGAAAGTCCCTGTGAGACTCTAACCTCCAATAAACCACTAGAAAAACCAGAAGTGGTGCTGTGGCTTCAGTGGTAGAACACTAGCCTTGAGCTGAAGAGCAAAGGGACAGCGTCCAGGCCCACAGTTCAGCCCCATGGTTGACAAAAACATAAAAAAACAAAACAAAAAAAACCAGAACAGACACCAAGGAACCTCTCTTCTGCTGTACCAGTCTTTCCTCATGTTTTCTTTCCTAGTCAGTCAGGATTATTGTACCCAGGTGAGTAGTTTTCACATTCTGTCCATAGTTTTCAGTTATAGGAGTATTAGGCTACAACTGACCTACATTATAGTGAACAGAAATGGAAGTTTACATTCACTTCCAAAAGATATTAGTGCCAATTTCTCAAGTAAGGCTCTGAATATAGTTTGACTTGACAAATGCAAGCCTTAGGAAAATTTTAAAAATATCTGTATGGCCTTGTTTGTTTTTATGAGTAATAAATACTAAATATAAAAATTTCAAGCATGTAATGTTAGGAAAATAAGCACTCATATTTTAACCACACAGAAAGTATCTGTTAACATTTTGAGTAGACATTTCCAGACATTTTTATCCTTGAAACAAAGTGAGCATTTGCCTTATCAAAACACTAGTTTTTTATGTAAACCATCCCTATAACTCTTTTCATTTAGATGATTTTATTCTACTTACAAATTCTGATACACTTACTCATTTGTGGAAAGCCACAGGCAAAAGTATAAAATATCAACATGTTCAACTTGATTTCTCGCCAATATCATTGCATAGTATGAAAATAGGTTTCTAACCCAAATGGAAAAACGTCAGATTGCCAAATAAAATTGTATGAAACAGCTGACATTACATGCTGATTTACAAGAAATATCCCAACTAATTGTACCACAAAGCACTCCATTGATGAATAAATTATATTGCTCTTCTTTGTGCTTTCAATAAAATTACAATAGAATACACAAAGAAAAGAAAGAAAAGGATGAAAGAAAAGGAGAAAAAAAGAGAAAGAAACAAAAATCTGTGTAAGTAAGATCTCAAAATAAGTATCAATTACAACATAACAGTAACAACAGTGGTTTTCATATTTGTTTAAAATCATAAGTCAGTAAATGACCATGGCTTTGTAGTGCTGCAATTCAAAAGCTTTATGCAATGGAACTTTTCACTGAACTAGCAGATTAATTTTCCCCATCCATTTCGATACATACAAAATACAAAAAGGGGGATGAATAACTGGATTAATTTGTCTCAAGACCAGGACTTTCACTGATTGTCAAGGTTCTACATCCATTTCTAAAAGAAAATTCACATACACACATTCTAGATGCCAAAAAGAAGTATTTATTGATTTTTTTCTCTGATCTGAAAATCATACTATAAAGAAAGCTATAGATGTCATTTATAGCTTAGGTTAACAACAAAGGCTTTCCATTTTTCCTGCATACAGGAAATAATTATTATTAATAATAATATAAATGACAAAATAATTTGTTTTATAATTATAAAATAAACAGTATGACCTAAAACTTGAAAAATCAAATGAAATATAATTTTTAAGGTTTTCTATTGTTGTTGCTGTCCTTTGTGCCTATCCTAAGACTTGAACTTAGGGCCTGGGTACTGTCTCTGAACTCTTTTGCTTAAATCTAGCACTCTACCACTTGACCCACAGTTCCATTTCTAGCTTTTTTTTTTAGTAGCTCATTAATGATAATAGTCTCATGGACTTTTTTGCCTGGGTTAGCTTTGAACTATGATACTCAGATCTCACCCTCCTGAGTAGCTAAAAATTAGATGCATAAGCCATAGGTGCCGATCCTAAAGTTTTTTAATGGGTATACCCAGCACATGTCTCAGTGATCTGAATCACTGGATCAAGAGAGAATATTCTACAATCTCCATATACTTAATCACACAAATTAACGTAAAAGTAGCAAACATACACAGCACTGAATTTCAGTCTAGTACTTAGAGAGTCACACAAAAAATACACTAAACATATATAAAGCAAATGTCACAGAAACTAAAGGATGAAGAAATCAAAGATTAAGAAAAACAGAGGATAAAAATAAATATCTAGGCTGAGAAGGTGACTCAGTTGTAGAGTGCTTGATTTATATGCATGAGGCCCTGGGTTCGATTCCTCAGCACCACATAAGCAGAAAAAGCCAGAAGTGGTGCTGTGGCTCAAGTAGTAGAGTGTTAGCTGAGGGACAGCCCAGGCCCAGAGTTCAAGCCCTATGACCGACTATCTATCTATCTATCTATCTATAATATATATTTGAATAATGTATCCCTAAAAATTTTAATATATTCTTTAAAAATAAAAGACATTTTAAATGTGCTCTTTAACAAATACTAGATAATTTAAATGCATCAGAATGAAGGCATTGACAATGATGCCAGCAATATTTTAAAAAAGAACTGTTAGTCTAGAACACACAAATTAACTCTAGCTAAAAAAATTTTTCAAAGAAAGCAAAGAGGCATCTCATATAAAACTTAACTCATTCTAATGTTACATTATTCTACTCTGATAAAGATATCATTTAGCTGATTAATGTACATACATGGAAGTTTATAAAATGCATTTATATTACTAATGTATTCATTGAACAACAAAAATGTGGAACAAAATCCCAAGCAGGCCTAGTTTTAAGGCCTTACATCAAAATATTGTAGATAGTTTCTTTTAATTTTATTATATGAAGGAAAAAGATTTAAGCCTCTGAGCAGTTAAATAATCGTGAAAAGTACTCTAAGTACTAAGAAATGTACATCAAAAGTTTCAAATGGCTAAGGGCAAAGGCAAATTTGAAAGGATAGAGTCACAATTTTATTTTTCCCTTTGATGTTGCTCTCTGGCAAAAGGAATTTGTCCTTCTGTAGGATTTCCTGTACTCCACTCCCACCCTCCAAAAGCAACTTCCCCTATACCATCAAACACAAAAATGTTTTTCTTTTGACTTATTATCCTCTCACTAGTCAATTCTCTTTCACTAGCATGCCCCCAAAACTAACAGGAGATCTACACTGCTTTCTCCTCCTATCTATTTCCCAACCTTCTAATTGTATCCATTTGATGAGCCAGACATCCCACTCTATGCACTTTCCCCATCAGCCCTTCTGTCTGCCCTCTGCAAAGACTGAGCTGTGTTTGCATCCTGTATATTTTCCCTCCCTCCCCATTCTATTCAGCATAGCCATACCCTACATAACAACATCCTAAACAACGACAAAGTACATATATGATCTTTGTGATTAAATCTGTGTGATTAATATTACAAATCAGCTGGAAAATTCTATCATCATTTTATCCTCATCTTACAGTGTTCTTCCCAAAAAGAAAGTGTGCCATGTAAGGCCAGCAGCACCTCATACATTGAATGCTTACTGTATCCCTTGATGGGGTCGGAGGCCATGTGAAGAGATTGACCTATGCCAAGTAGGCATAGGTGAGTAAGTAAGCATAATCTGTGATGTGCACACAAACACAAAAGTCACCTATGGCACAGCTCTAGAATGTATCCCCATAACTAAGTGACATCTGCCTGATGGACCAATCATGACCTATTTTATAACTCATGTTAGTATTCTATTATATAGTGCCTTTAATTATTATTTAACTATTTTATGTGTATATCTTATTTAACAAGAAAGTTAGCATGCCAAGACAAGGACTATTTTATTTCTTTGGAATGTTATTTCTCTTTCCCACACTTAAAGCCCTTTTAAGGCCAGCACAGTACTATAATGAATGATTCACTGAATCTGAAGTAGTTCAGAATTTCCACATATACTATGATTCTCCCAAATCAATAAGTACATAATACAAAAAGCATCTTTACCCCAAGATTCCAACTATTAAGACGAGCTTCAATGTCACTGTCATCCAAAGAAACAGAAGATTTTTTAAAATGAACTTCCTGAAACACAAAAGAGGAAAGGGAAGGAATAATGAAAGATGAATGAATAGGAGGGGGAGGAGAAAAGAGGGCAGAGGGAAAAGAAAGGAAAGCAGGGAGAAGAAAACAAAACAAAATTTATATCATTCAGAGTAATGAGAGTTTTGTGTACTTATATAGTTATATTATATTGCCCTCAGAGGAAAAGATTATGTTACAACTAAGCAAAAGTTCTCAATTCTAACTAATGACTGTTTATTATAGCTGCTTAGGGCTATAAGATGCCTTAACAATATACTTATAAAGTAACTGGATTTCAAAAAAAACATCAAAAGAATATTTTGAAAATTAATTCAACTCCTCTCTCTAAGCTCTTTTTACAAAAGTTTTAACTGTGGCATACCACAGTAGCTTGAAAGGGACCTTGGGAGTAGGGGACACTTGAAAAGATGAATTATTTACTCTTGTTAGAATTAGTTAACAGGAAAATATTGTGTTGATGTCCAAGAAACACTTTGTTCTTAAATTAATCCTCACTCATACACCAAGTAAGAAGAAAAGCTTTGGATTCACATCATGAAAACATAATTACAATGATCCTTTACTTTTTAAAAAATAAAAACTGCTCTTACTTCACTATAAATCAATCCCAATTTCTTCCTAATTTTATGATCATGTTCTTTCTTTCTCTATAATTTGTTATATTATTCATTTGTTAAATAGATTAAACTAGCTAAATGAAGACAATCTAAAATCTGTACCCAGAAATGGACAATGACCTTAAAGCTCTAAATAATTAGCAAGGAATATCAGTGTAAAATAATGACTATTTTACAGCCCCAATTTTTAAAATTTAAAATGAATTGTTGATATAATATTTCCATGCTGTTAGAAAGCCTCATTATTAAAATCTATTTCCATATAATTACTTAAATTAATATTAAAGTATGTAAAAATACACTAAGATATTTTGTTCTAATTTTTACTGAGCAAAATATTTTCTATTACCTTTATATTATTAAAATTAATCAGCCAGATACTGGTGGCTCACATCTGTAATCCTGGCTACTCATGAGACTGAGATCCAGAGGCTCTCAATTCAAGGCCAGCTTGGCCAGAAATGTCAATTAGATTTCATGTCCAAAATAATAAGCAAATAGCTAGGCTAGAGGTTTGACTCAAGTGTAGAGTATTCCAACCTAGCAAATGTGAGGCTCTGAGTTCAAACCCCAATACCAGCAAAAAAATAATAATAATTGTTATCAGTCAGGCATAAGGCCTCTCAGAAGGCAGAGATGGAAAGAACATGGGTTACTATCAGCCTGAGCAAGAAATTAGCAAAATTGTCACCTCAGTTAGAAAGCTAAGTGTTATAGGTCTAGCCCATAATCACAGCCACACAGACCATAAGTAGGAAAAGTGATCTGCAGCTGTTCCTGGTCAAGACTTTACCTGAAAAGTAACTAAAGCCAAAAAGGGATGGGGACATTGCTAAGTGGTAGAATGCCCTCCTGGCAAACATGAGGCCTTGTGCTCAACCTCAGTACCACAGAATAATTCATTATCACTCTACTAGTGGTCCCTTGCTTTTAACATACTTTTCTTTGTGAACAAGAGCTGCTTAAGAAAATATACCTATCTAATTTATATTAGGTAAATATACTGATTGAGAGTTATTTATTATTTAAAATGCATTGTCATTCATATTAAATGTTGTTTTAACTTCCAAATTACCTTTGAAGAAAATTCAATGAAGTATGTTTAAGGCTGAAATAGTCATACATAGCACATGAACTATCTTGTCATTAGAAATCACATAAGCCAAAACAGCAATAATGATTTTAGCAAGCACATTATTCTCTTTTGACAAGTAAGCAAACACAATTTTCAAACACAAAATTCAAATAAAAACTTTGTTAAACATATTGATGTAAGGGATCTGTAGATAAACTGTTGCCTTTATTAAGAAATCAGTGTCCCCTATGTTACTATAAATCAATCCCATTTCTTCCTAATTTTATATCTAATCGCTCCATTCATATATGAATAAAAGGAGAAAACAGCTAAAATAGAGTTTCAAAAGTTATACTGGGGGGGCTGGGGAGGTGGCTCAGTGGTAGAGTGCTTGCCTTACATGCATGAGGCCCTGGGTTCGATTCTCCAGCACCACATAAGCAAAAAGATAAAATCCGGATGTGGCGCTGTGGCTCAAGTGGTAGAGCGCTAGCCTTGAGCTAAAAGAGCTGAGGGACAGTGCCCAGGCCCAGAGTTCAGGCCCCACGACCGGACCAAAAAAAAAAAAAGTTACACTGATTCACAGGAAAAATGATTGACAGAGATATGAGAATCACTAAGAGCAAAAGAAAAATACCAAGCTCACTGCTATCTGACAGAAAAGATATTCACCAAAACCTTCAGACTTTATTTGCTGTTTTTAAGTATTAAATGTAAGTTAGAAAATGTGAAAAGAAAAACTTTATAGAATCATTTTTAAACAACAGAGAAACAACACAAATAAAGTCCGATCTTACACAGTTCTTTGGGGTAATATTTTCTCCATCTTCTCTGTGAGTTGGACTTATAGAATGTGATCTTATTCGAGGCTTCTCAGTGTAATGTTCTCCACTAAGAGACAAAAATAGTAACCATCAAACGTGGGAGAAACAGAAAACAGAGCATTCAATTACAGAAGCATCATTTCTTCTTTTGTACATGAGATGACAGTTTTCATTAATAATGATGATTCAACAGTGGAAAAAATATGGAAATAATAACTGTGCTTTTACCATTTACTTCAATTAACATAAAAAATTTAGGTTAAATATCACATAAACCCTACATACTTGCTTAGAAACTATTGCTATTTTTAAGTGCAAGTATGAGCAAAATAAGTATCTTTACCAAGTGGGAAGAAGAAGCCACTTGATGTACTAAGCAGTAGGCTATTCTTTTTATTTTTTCTTTTGGTCAGTCATGGGTCTTGAACTCTGGGCCTGCGTGCTGTCCCTGAGCTCTTCAGCTCAAGGCCAGTGTTCTGGTTAACTGAAGATAAGAGTCTCATGGGCTTTCCTGCCTGGGCTGGCTTTGAACCTCAATCCTAAGATCTCAGCCTCCTGAGTAGCTAGGATTACAGGCATGAGCCACCGACGCCTGGTTTCAGTAGCTTATTCTTCAAGAATTAAAAACTCATAAGTGCTACATTTAAAAATTGAAAAACATTGGGGCTGGGAAGGTGGCTCAGTGGTAGAATGCTTGCCTTGCATGCATGAAACCCTGGGTTCGATTCCTCAGCATCACATAAGAAAAAGCCATAAGTGGCACTGTGGCTCAAGTGGTAGAACGCTAGCCTTGAGCTGAAGAGCTGACGGACAACACCCAGGCCCCTAGTTCAGGCCCGATGACTGCCAAAAAAAAAATTGAAAAATGCTTAAATATTAAAAGTAAATCTTTTCATAGAAATATTAATAAAAAGAGACTTGAAACATTTATCTATGTTACACTAGGTACATATATTAAAACTGCACATTTTTTTAGAGTTCAGTATAATTATTTAATGTCAATGGTTTTACCTAAGCTGATTCAAATGATCAACCTGCATAAATATGGCATATACATAAGAACATTTTTAATTTAAATTTAAATTATATTAAAAATTAAATTATATTGTAAAGGGGTTACAGTTACATAAGGTACTGAGTCCATTTCTTTTTGAACAGTATTATTCCCTCCCTCATTTCCCCCTACTTTCCCCCCAAAACACCTCACCCCCAAGTTGTAAGTTCATTTCCAACATAGTGTCGATTGAGTATTACTGCTGAACTGGTTCACCCTTTGTCCCACTATTTCTATGATTTCCCCTTCCCTTCCTCCAAATCAGATAAACTTATATACAAGACAAAGGGTACAAAAATTAAAAAAAAAAAACAGACAAAGGAGAAAAGAGAAAGAAAAATAACTACAAAAAGTACAATTAAAAAACCTTCTTGTTTCCATTTTTGGAGTTCATTTCAATGAGTACCATTTTATATGGTCATATGCACATAGCTATTGAGCCATTGTGATCCTTTCCTAAGAACATCCTCCTATGCGAATGCTTAGAATACTGTTTAATCATGTCCAAGTGTAATTATTTGTCTTCTACTGTCTATTAGATTAACTGTAGATTTATAGACATATTCTAGTTATTACAAATGAGGGAAATCGTGTAGCTTATGTTTCTTTGGATCTGGCTTACTTTACTTAATATAATTGTTTCCAAGTCTTTTCATTTCCTTACAAATGGGGCAATGTCATTCTTTCTGATAGAAGCATAGAATTCCATTGGGTATATATACTACATTTTCTTGATCTATTTATCCACTAAGGGGCATCTAGGTTGATTTCGTATCTTAGCCATGGTAAATAATACTGCAATGAATATAGTTAGGCTGATAGCATTAGTGTGGCCTGGCTTGTGGTCATTTGGGTAAATGCCCAGGAGTGGGATTGCTGGGTCATAGGGAAGGTCTATGTTTAGTCTTTTGAGGAACCTTCATACTGCTTTCCAGAATAGTTGAACAAGTTTACATTCCCATCAATTGTATAGTAGCAGTCTCTTTTTGCCACATCCTCTCCAGCATCTGTTATTATTAATTTTCTTGATAATGGCCATTCTAACTAGGGTGAGGTAGAATCTCAATGTTGTTTTGATTCACATTTCTTTTATGACCAGAGATGTTGAACATTTCTATATATGTCTATTGGCCATTCTTATTTCTTCTTCAGAGTAGTCTCTCTTTAAGTCTTTAGCCCACTTATTAATGAGGTCATTAATCCTTAATTTGTAATTCACATAGAATTGTATTTATATACCAATCCACCTTAATTCCCTTTACAATTTATTTTCAAAAATGTTACTGGATCCATGTTCTCACCTCTCATATATTTTTCAGGCAACTACAAATTGACTTTCACTCATCCTGAAAGTGTTGTAAGGTCATCAGTGATTTGCACACTCAAACAACTGTAAGATAATTAGGATTAAAAGCCAGGTGCCAGTGGCTCACGCCTGTAATAGCTACTCAGGCTGAGTATCTGAGGATCGCGGTTCAAAGCCAGCCCAGGCAGGAAAGTCCGTGAAACTCTTCTCTCCAATAAACCACCAGAAAACCGGAAGTGGAACTGTAGCTCAAGTGGTAGAGCACTAGCCTTGAGCTGAAGAGCTGAGGGACAGCGCCCAGGCCCAGAGTTCAAGCCCCAGGACCGACAAAAAAAAAAAAAGATAATTAGGAATAAAAAAGATAATTAGGATAAAATATAATGCAATGAAAAGGATGGAAACTAAAAGTCTGCCAGGCTCAGGTGCCAGAAATCACTGGACAGCAGGAAATATGACTATTGAAAATGTAAGGGAATTACAGTCAAATTCCTCAAGAAAGCAACAGCTAGTCTGGAGTCCCCTGCTCTTGAAAAAAAGATTAAGAGGCCGTGACCAGTACTGTACTGATAGTTACGGCCACAGCTACATCCCTACATCCCTAAGCTATAGCATATAGCTATAGCTACATGCCCTAAATGAAGCTTATGGGAACTACATAACTAAACCATAATATCCTCACCTCTGTTAGAGCTATGTAGTGAATAGTATCCAAAGATGGATCCAAAAAATTATACCTCCCTATTTTCAGGTTCAGGTACAGGCTCCTTCTTCCCTGTATCCAGAGCCAGCCTTCAGTTGGCTTTAGTCAATAGAATGCAGATGACTGACACCCTGTCAGTTTCAGGCCCAAGCCTTAAGATGGCCAGAAGCCCTGTAGAACCATGTAAGTCTCTAAACCCTGCTGTGTAAGACAGACCATAGGAAGAGGCTGCATAAAGAAAGAATTATGAGAAGTGGCACTGTAGCTCAATTGGTAGAGTGCTAACCTTGAGCTGAAAAGCTCAGGGACAGTGCCCATGCCAAGTTCAAGCCCGACAACTAACAAAAATAAATAAATATTATTTACATATAAAAGAAAGAATTATGAGATTATATGGAGACAAAAATCTTTACCATTACAACTACGCCCAGCTGACAGCCATCCTACCATCAAGTTTCCAGGTGACCAGACAGACTGATCTATTGTCAACATCAGCCTAGTCAAATCTCCATATAATTGATACCAGTTTTGTCTATGGAGACAAAACAAATAAAACCACTGTTGTATTAGTTGCTAAAAGTTTGTTGAATCATAATGAGTAGATAAGCATAAACTAGTTAACAGATGTGAAATGCCAAATTACAAGAGACTAAAACATACAGTATTGGCTTTTGAGCTAAAATAACCTCAGAGGTACTTTGAAAGCTGGAAGATCATGGAGGAAAATTTTATTTAAAGTTGGACAAAAAGGTAACCCACATTGTGCAGAGATGGAAAGTTTGGCAAGTGTCACTTGTGGTAATGTAGAAAATAGAAAATATACCTATGACATTGTATAACCATTGGCTAAAGAGAATTCCAGGTAAAATACTAAAAATGCCAAATGGTCTGTTGTAGCTACAACTGAAAAGGTAGAAATAGAAATGAAACAAGAATGTTCAGATTTCTAACCGATTCTTTTTTTTTTGTCAGTCGTGGGGCTTGAACTCTGGGCCTGGGCACTATCCCTCAGCTCTTCAGCTCAAGGCTAGTGCTCTACCACTTGAGCCACAGCACCACTTCTGGCTTTTTCTGCTTATGTGGTTCTGAGGCATCGAACCCAGGGCCTCATGCATGCAAGCAAGGCAAGCACTCTACCACTGAGCCACCTTCCCAGCCCCTCTATCAGATTCTTGATGATAGAGCTTCAATATAGAACTTGTAGGGTTGTAAAACAATTTTTTTCATTCTTGGATTCAGCAAATAACTCTGATAGCAAGAAATAATCTTAAGGCAAATACCAAATCTAAGGTTTTGCCTGGAAACACGGACTCAGGGCCAAAATCTCAACATATGTCTATAAAACACTTTATTCCAACCTTAGAATGACTTGAATCCATTCCTCAAAGACCCTATGAAGGAAAGAAAAAGACTTCCAAGAATTTCCATATTTAGAATCTTCACTACAGATAAGAAAGCTTCTGAAAATCATAAGGGATTTACACAGCATTCCAATCCTTGTCACAAAATGGAAAACCTACCTCTAAAAACTTGTGAATAGGGGCTGGGAAGGCGGCTCAGTGGTAGAGCGCTTGCCTTGCATGCCTGAGGCCCTGGGTTGATTCCTCAGCACCACATAAGCAAAAAGATAAAAAAGCTGGAAGTGGCACTGTGGCCCAAGTGGTAGAGCCTTGAGCTGAAGAGCTGAGGGACAGCACCCAGGCCCAGAGTTCAGGCCCCATGACTGGAGCCCCCCCCCAAAAAAAAGAACATGAACTTTGATCAATAAAAAGTCAATACACAAAACATTAAAATGTGAATGTAAAAAAAGAACTTGTGAATATAGCATTTGCCTAATGGAGTATTATAATTTGAAGCACGGAAAGCCACAGAAGTTTCAAAGGGATTCCACCAGTATCATCTGAAAGAGAATTGATTCTCCAAGTTCTTCCACAAACAGGAAGCAGGTTGAGAAAACTACTCAGCTTAAAGCAAACTATTTTTTGCAGTAAAAGAGTGGTATCTGGC